TCATATTGTTCTCTTTTATTTCAAAGCTCCTTAAGGATTTCATTCGTCCTGAATACGCAAACGCAGCAAGATGTTCATCTGGGGATAAAGTCACCCACCCACAGCCTCTTGCACAAGCGTGTGTGGACACAGATCTGATTCGAGTTCCACTTGCATCATGGCCATCCAGGATAGCGACTGCAGCACCTGTCAGAGGCTCCCTCTTTGCTTATCTTATAGGTCACGGTTGTACAGGGAGTGTCCTGCAGCCTGACTAGTTCTGTCAGAGTGGAACTCATGGACGCCTCAGGGGAAAGAAGGGAGCAACAGGTCCCCTTCCTCTAAAAACAGTCTATGTGAGAAAAACTAAGAGGCTCCTTGCCCGTCAACTCTGTAGACGAGTGCAGGGAGGAGAAAAGACAGAAGAAAAGCAGACATTGGTAAAATGGTAATGTTTATTTTGATACTATAGGTATCTTATAGAAAATAAATAATCAGATTTTTAAAAATGGAAAGATAAATAGGAATTCAAGGGGGAAAATATAGCACTCTTACATTAGTGAGTGAAACTGATGAGGTTAAAAAGAGTAAGTTTCTCTGGAATAGTACTTTAATAAGTTTCACTATTTAACAGTTGGTAATTTAGAATTCTGAATTGTAGTCATTTGGGAAAGAAATATATCTTACTATACAATCACATCAAATAAAACCATATCACTAGGTATTGATAATGGTAATCATAGTAACCAATCCTAAGTTCCTGGAGGAAATATCAAGAGTGAAACCAAAAATGATGTTTTATACTTGTAAATAACTTCATAATTTTCAAAGTGTTTTCACTTACATGGTCTTATTTGACCTCACATCAGTTTATGAGATAGGCAAAACAATTTTTTTCATCTTTTTGCAGGTAGAAGATTGAAGCCTAGACCAGTTTAGTGACTTGCGCTGGGTTGTATGGCTGGGGAAACAGCAAAACTAGGACTAGAACTCTGGACTTTTGCTTCCCAGCCCATCCGTATTTCCAATGGAATGATCATTCATAGCTCTACAGTTTCTGTCACCAAAAATAGTCATTAATTTTCAGAGCTGAGTAAAGCTTGTCCATGGAGAGGTATAATTCACAGTACTTATCCATACTGGATTGATGCATTTCGTGTTTGCCCCTTTTCAAATGTTGTTAAAATAATATGTGAATCAACTTAATAAACAGCTCAGCTCAGAACTTGCTTTTGGGTTCTCCAAGAGCCTTACTCCTCAATCATAGCTTAGTTTGCAGATGGCTGAGTGTACCATGTGAAGAGCATCACTTCCACCTACTCCACCCTTTGACCCAGTTTCTACCAAAAGTTGGCACCACAGCTATTATATTGCATATATTGCACAAGTTTTGAGATTAGTTTAAATGTGTCTCAGCAATTTTCAATCAGGCTATTTAATTCACTTTGAAAAGGGCAGAAGTAGGAAGAGACATATGCAAGGACATTGTCAGGTTTATTCTCTTCCTCACCTATTTCCTAGATCCATCCCTTTTCATCTAGGCCCAGGAGTAAATGTGCAGATGGATTAGGCTGGAAACTCTATCTGGGTCACACAGACCTTGAGAGGGCATATAAATGTCAGCTCTGAAGGATCCCCAGAAGCCATGGAAATTCCACATCTGACACTGTTCCATGGAGAACATTCTGCTTCACTTGGAAGTTTCTGGGTATCCTGGGTCCCCTTTACTATCAGAAAAGGTCCACTTCTAGCACTTGTGAGCTCCAGGGCAGGAGTACAAATAGAGGCCTACGTACCATATGTCTAAGTATATAAATGTTACACGTCAGGCTAACAGACTATAAAATTAAATATGTTCTCTTCTCCTACTGCAACAATAGTATGTCCATTAATAATAAAGTGAGTTACAGATCTTCCTCAACTTAAAATGGGGCTATGTCCCAATAAACTCATCACAAAATGGAAATACCATAAGTGGAAAATACATTTAATACACTAACCTACTGAACATCCAGCTCAGCCTAGCCTCCCTTAAACGTGCTCAGAACACTGACATTAGCCTACAGTTGGGCAGAATCATCTAACACTAAGGCTGTTTTATAGTAAAGTGTTGAATACCTCATGTAACTTGTTGAATAATGAACTAAAAGTGAAAACCAGAATGGTTGGATGGGTACAGATGGTTTTAAGTGTGTCAGTTGTTTACCCTTGTGCTCACTTGGCTGAGTGGGAGCTGCAGATTGCTGACTGCCCAGCGTCATGAGAGTATCCTACTGCATACTGCTAACCCAGGAAAAAACTCAAAATCAAAAATTTGAAGTATGGTTTCTACCAAATGCCTATCACTTTCTCACCATCATAAAATTGAAAAATCATAAGTTGAACCATTGTAAGTCAGGAACCTTCTGTACATGTTTAAAGCTATGGCTGTTTGTTACTGGTAGTTGGCAAAATATAAAAGACATGAATTTAATTATTATTCTACATTTTAGAGATTTTTGTTGATGGGCCAGTAATGTTTAGATGAACAATAACATAAAAGTGTATAATTTAGAAATTATTTATTTATTTATTTTAAAGATTGGCACCTGAGCCAACAACTGTTGCCAATCTTCCTTTTTTTTTTTCCTGCTTTATCTCCCCAAATCCCCACCATACATAGTTGTATATCTTAGTTGCAGGTCCTTCTAGTTGTGGCATGTGGGACGCCGCCTCAACGTGGCCTGACGAGCCGTGCCATGCCTGCTCCGCGGATCTGAACCAGTGAAACTCTGGGCCGCCACAGTGAAGCATGTGAACTTAACCACTCGGCCACGGGGCCTACCCCTATAAATTATTTATAAATTGATTCATACCATGAATTTATTTTCCTTACTTTCATTAGAAAAATATCACTTACATTGCTTTAATCAAAATTTCTACATAAGTTGTGCTCTATTGAAAGTAAAGAGCTAAAGGACTAAAAATTAACTGTAACTATATTCAAAGCATTTAAAATTTGAATATGATTTCTTCAAAAATTAAATATAAAAAATAAAATTATTTTACATATATTATTTCAAAAAGTTTTCCTCTAAAATATTCAAAATGATATATTAAAATTAAAAGTCAAACTACAAATTCTAATTAATGCACATGAAAAATTTCAATCCAAATGATTTAGAGGCCAGCCCCGTGGCAGAGCGGTTAAGTTTGTGCACTACTCTTTGGCAGCCTAGGGTTTTGTGAGTTTGGATCCTGGGCGCACACCTAGCAATGCTCATTAAGCCATGCTGAGGTGGCATCCCACATAGCAGGACTAGAAGGACCTACAACTGGAACATCCAACTATGTGCTGGGGGGCTTTGGGGAGAAGAAGAAGAAGAATAAAAGAAGATTGGCAAAAGATGTCAGCTCAGGTGCCAATCTTTGAAAAAAAAAAGAGCATCAGTATCATACTTGATCATATTATATCTACATCAGCACTGTCCAACAGAAATATAGTGCAAGCCACATACATAACTTTTAATTTTTTACATTAAAAGTTTTTCTACATTAGAAAAAGTTTAAAGTAAACATAAAAATTATTAAAATTAATTTTTGTAATATTTTATTTAATCCAACATATTAAAATATTATTCCAACGTGTAATCAATATAACAACAATTGATGAAGGCTTTTGCGTTCTTTTGTTTCACACTAAGTCTTCTTCCGTGTATACTTTATGCTTACAGCACTTCTCAGATGGACTAGCTACATTTCATGTGCCCAACAGCCATGTGTGGCTAAGGCTAGCATATTGGACAGCGAGTATTCCTCAGTTGCTGTGTAAACTGTTGCAAATACCACATTGATTGGTGAGGGCCTTTGGACCCACAGATTGAAACACAAAGAGAAGCAAGAAAGTGGATGCTACACACCACCAGGAATGATGTTGAGAGGAAGAACTTGACGCACTAATTAATTTGTCTCTTCCATAAGGACTTCTACTACGCATATCCATTGAAGCAGTATCCATCTCCAGTGTCAGCAGTGGCACAACTCACAAACCTTCCTGGGTGCAAGTGCCTTTTGTTTCAAAGGACACAGAATAGGAGGTTTGGAGAACTGAGATTCTCCTCAGGGCCTGAATGGGGTTAGGAACAAGAGTGGATTTTTGGGGTTATGGATCACACTGTGCAGCACTGAGCACCGGACAATGGGTAACAGAGATCCAACGTGCTTGTTAATAAATTTTTCTGTTGAGATGTTTGTTGGGGCCCAGGGGAGGAGCTGCTCTTGCCCTGGTATGATGGAGGTACTGGACAGGGCAGCTGTAGACACGGCCAGGCTTCCCAGGAGCACATCAGAATAGGAAGCAACTGGGCTAGACTGGGAGTGCAGGATCACACTAGTTTCTCCGAGTGTTGAGAGTTACTGAAGTGTTTGGCGTGAGGAAACTCACTGGTTCTATTTTCCCCTACGTTTTGCTTCTTGAAGCATTATCTTCAATATCAATATTAAACTTGAAAAAAGCAGGAATGGAAGAGAGGGAGATACCTTTTAACAGATGCGTGACAAATAATAACTGATCCAACCTCCCTCACCAGCCCCTCAGCTCCCTGCATACACGTCCCTTACCACACACACACATATAAACAGCTCCAGGCGGAAAAGTATTATTGTATTGCTTTTATGTCTTTCTTTTAAAAAGTATGTATGATAAAACATGAACTGCAAGTAGCCATTTGTTACGGTGGCTAAAACAGAATGCTCAGATTATAGGAAGTGTGTAACCTCTCAATGTGGAGCTGCCCACCCCGGTCTTGTGTTAGTCACCACTGGAACAGAAAGATGTGATTCTAGGTTGAGGAGAAAGAGCTAATCAAGGCCTTTGCGTTCATGACTCTCACATTTCCTGCAACTCTTTCTTCAAAGGTCACTTTCTTGGTAAGGCCTTTTCTGAGCATCATGTCTTAAACTGCACCACCAAGTACCGCACCCCCACCCCACCCCCTGCATCCCCTGATGCATCTTCCTCCACAGCACTCACTAACCCCTGGAGTACTGGAGACTTTACCTCTGCAATTCTTCATATCCCTCACTAAAATCCTCCACAACAATGAGAACTATTGTCCAATTTGGTCACTGCTATAGCCCCAGAACCTAGAACAGAACCTAACATAACAGAAGCCACTGAGTAAATAGTTATTGAATGAAGGAATCAATTAATCAGTGGGGTTTATCGTTCTGACACTAGGGAGCAACTATCCTTCACTTTTCCCAACTAAAACTGAAGCCACACACCGCCTGTGAAAATAGCATAAACCTCTAAAATATTCAGGAACATGATAAAAGAAGGTAGTGGACTGGTAAATGGAAAGAATATTAGACTAGTAGTTAGAAATCACTTTTCACCTTACCTAAGCCACCTCCCAGCACTGTGATTTTGGGCAAGTCAATTAACTTCTCTAACATTTAAGCTCAGCCAGTTCTAGATTTTAAGAGACTATGCTTTTTAAAAAACAAAAAACAAAGCATATTCCATTTTGCAAGGTTGGTATGTTCCAATTGGCAGAAAGATGTTGTCTGTAGTTAATAATGGTGGAATCTCTTGCCTACAAAATTTATCTGTCTTATTTACTCACAATGTTGACTGTAAATCCTGTTTGTTTGTTTACTTTTTGTAGACTTTTGATCAAAACTCTAAATCTAGCAAAATCTGAAATAATTATTCTTATGTTAGAAAAAAATATGTATAACCATCTTTATATATCTGTTTTCAGGTTCCAGCTTTCACTATCCTGAGTTTTTAAATATTAAAATACTCAGCAATTTAAAAATTGCTTTTATCATGAGTGACCAGTTTTTTAGCTTTTTTTTTTTAAATCTTGGATGTGATAGACTACGTTTGGCTTTAACATTATTCATTTATTCATTCTCACTCTCCACATACTCTGGGAATTCAAAAGATTGCAATGCATATTATGTTCATATTTTAGATTATGGAATACAGTAATGTTTTCTAGTTTATTATGAATATTTTAATTTCCAGATTTGTTCCATATAAGTTTATTAAGAATACTTTAATTTATAGGTTTTTCCCATATAAGTAACTCAGTTAACCTACAAATGAGAAAGAGAACAAGAAAGTGAAAGTAATCTTTTGGTCTCTGTGTTTGCTCAGGTAGCTGCATTCCATGAGTCCACGGGCTTGGGGCTGCTCTCAGCTGGGAGGCTGAGATGGCTGGCTTCTCCTCCCATGTGGTCTTTCATCTTCAAGGAAGCTAACTGGGCTTCTTCACACGACCATAGCAGTGTTCCAAGAATTCAGTGAGCGGCAAGGCCAGGTCTAAGAGCACAAGTGCATGGATATGGTTAGCAGACCGTGGTCAGACTCAGAACGCACATGCTCCATTGAGTGCTGCTAACCTGATTTTTCCTGGGTGGTCAAATACCTAGCTACAAAGACGCAGATTCTTTTCATGATTATTATTATTATTATGAATGGGCAGTTAGAGATATTTGTGGCATTTCAGTAAATTGGGCTATTTGGTGCTCTAAAGCCCTAATGTACAAACACTTATCAAGCATCTGTTTGTATTATGTTTGCTGGTGTCCCATTGGCCAAAGCTGACACGTGTGCAAATCCAGAATTAATTTGGAAAGGAACCCACAACTGCATGGATACTGGGAGGAACAATTCATGGGGCATTAATGTGACAATCTACCACAAGATCATTGAAAATTGCAATATATAATTATCTTAAATAACTATTAAAATGGGAGCATATTTTGTCAATTAAAGATATCAACCTCAATGCATGGATCTTATTTTATATATTTAGTATTTGCATTTAATATATTAATTCCATTTATTATCAACATTACTTTATGTTTCATTGAATTCATAGATTTTTTAAAAAAGCATTGCTTTTTCTTTTCTTACATTACTCTGCTTCTGGATTTCATTGAATGTAATCAATTAATTTAACAATATTATCATAACAATTATATAGTGAGCCAAATGTTTTATTAGTTCTTTTAAATTTTTTCTTTAGTCACAAAAGTTAACCATGTCAAAGGAGCAAGAGAGAGTTAATATTTTAAACTATTTTTATGGACGATTTCCTAATTTTAAGATGCTATTAAAAATTAAAAAAAACAAGTTGCATAGGTCACACAAAACATATCTACAGACTGAATTGGGCCCAGAGCTATCAGTTTGGAAACTGTGGCTCAAAATAAAAGTAAATGCTAAAATTAATATTTTAGCATAACAAGCCAAATTTTGGCTCCATGCTAAGTGGTCCAGAGAGGTCTTAAAAGAGTTTAGAATGTTGTTTTCCACCATCTGCTATTTTCAAAATGAAATCCTCGATCTAATTTGGAAAAAAGATCAGCCATACAGCAGACTGTTACAAAATCATATACATATTCATTAGTGATAGGCATAAAATCAGTTTAATGTAGTTATAAGTTAAAATGTTATGCAAGAAAACTTGAATGCAAGTCTTTTAGCCAGAATAATTTTAATTCAGTGCCAATTGATAAAGTTGGCTAAATCAGGCCTATTTTATGATTACTAGTAATCACTTTGTGGAGGCAGAAATGGGATGGATAGGACCGTGCTACTCAAAAGTGTGGTCTGCAGACCAACATCAGCCTTACCTGGGAACTTGTTAGAAATGCAAAATCTTAGGCTCCGTGCCAGACACGCTGAATTGAAGTCTGCAGTTTAACAAGATTCCCAGGGGCTTGTGTGCACATGAAAGTGTGTGAAGCGCTGGCCTAGGAAATCTTTCTTGGCTAAAAGTTGTCTTGTTCAGAGGTGCTGGGAAGGACATCATCAGCAAGCTCCTGGTGGTAGAGATGCAGGACGAGTACTTGGAGCAGGGCGCTGACCCTGGCCTTCACGAGAGCAGAGAGGTTTGAATTGGCCATGGAGACCCTTGCAGATTTGTTATGCTGCTGCTCCTCAAGCAGCTGAGAACTATTTCCATATGAACGCCAGTTTCCTGAGAGGACACACAATCTCCGCAAAATTCTTGCTGTCAATAAGTTTTGCTGAAACTTACTCCCAAAACTCTCACCAGCCTTCCATATTTTGACTCAACCTAATGGTTTCCCTGAAAGCCTCATGAAGCAGCTCTGTGTAGCAGCTTTCTGCTGCCCTTTCGGAGCCGTGGTGCCACGCAGGATTGCAGGCCTGGTATCCTTTCAGTGCCTCGCTGCAGGAGGCATGTGGTATCAGTCTGTCCCATTACTGGTCATGTTAACTTGATCATTTGGTTAAGGTACTGTCTGCCAATTTTCCATTCTCAAACTTCCTCTTCCCTTTGTAAATAATATGATCCCTGGAATGATGTTTCAGATTGTGTGAATATCTTGTTCCTTAACAATCCTTCAACCAATCATTTTAGCATTCATTGATAATTCTAGCCAGAATCAATTACTATGGTGGTTGGAAAATCTTGGCTTTTTACTCTTATCCCTTCTTCTACATTTATTGGTGAGCATTTGTGTCAAAAGATACACAGATGTCACTCATTTACACTACTTTTATAGGAGTTGTAGGATGCCAGCTACTTCTACTCATATCTTCTCATTGTATAATTATTTAAAGCCTGTGGAATAGGAAGCACTAAGTTGGAAATACCCAAATATCGGGTAAGGTGGTGTTAGCTTCTGCTTTCCTTACTAGTCACATGCAGTTTTACAGGATTTGTGCTCCATGATATCAAGGAGGACAGATGCTGTGTCACTCACAGCCAGTCAGGGCATATTCACACATTTCAAGCAATCATCGCTTGGTTCTAGTTGTTTTCTAGTCACAATGTTTTATTTTTTGCCTTCTTATTCTTTCTGACTCTGTTATTATTCAGCTTTACTCTTTAGCCCCCACTTTTCTACTCAGAGGAAATGTCTGCTCATTTACTTCTGTACTGCTACACAATTTTGAGTAAAATCCTTAAGTATCAGTTATAGTGAATAGAGATTTTTATAAATATTCACCAGAAACTATAACCTACTTTTTCCTAGCTAGTAAATTAGTAAAGCTCAATCTTCATAGTGCTATGGGCTTATTTATTTTTGGCAAATGGTTGCCAGGAGAGTGGAAGGGGGCACTGGTGATTAGATGAGCTAAGATGCCTGGCGTGCGTGTGTGTAGAGCCGGTCGCTATTCCAGTCACCACCGGCAATCTTGTCAAGTTAACAGGCCTGAAAGAGATTGTGATACATTGCTTTAGTCTCTATTTTCTAGATATATCTATCATATCTACTTATCGATCCATCCACTCACTCAACATTTGCCATCTATATTGACTATCTAGTCATCCAGGCACTGCTCTTAGTACCACAGATACAAAGATGAATATGATAACTAACTCTTATTACTGTGTAGGGATAACTCCTCCTCTAAGGCCTTCTCTCTTCTCCTTCCCAGTTATTTCCCCCAAAATGTAAGCATAGGTTCATGTTGTCCTCCTCAGCGCTGGTGCAGATCAAGGCTCCTTTTGAGGACTCTTATGCACGTCTGCTGCTTCTGGGAAGCCGAAAATTGCTGTGCAGCATCTCTTGGGCTCTCCTTTTAAGACCATTTATTGGAAGAATTGCATGTTTCTCTCACCTGCTGTGAAATGACTGAATGGGAAACACGATATAGGGAGAAGAGAGAGAAGTATTTTTTGTGAGGGAATAGACAAAATTTCTAAAGAAAATTTATATTTTCCTTTCCCAGTATATCTCTATGACAGAGAAAATAATGTTAATGGAATATCTAATCAGAGATGAGAGACTAGAGTTCATGTTATTCTTTTAAAGAACAATGAAAACAATGAACAATTCTAAGTTATCTAAATTACATTTGCGGTGGCTTAATCTGTACAATCCTGTTAAGTTGTCTTGGTGTTGGGGGAGGTTTTTCTACATGGGAATATACTACAGAAACTAGAATAATAGAATTTTTCCCCAAGGAAAGAAATAGTTATCAATGGTTACTCCCTTTTTGTACATACAAACTAAATCTTAGAACATTATATATGGTCACTTAATTCAATTATGACTGAAGAGAGAGAGATCACAATATCTCTTAAAACATCTTTTCAATTTCCAATAAAAATAACTTACTCTCTTTTAAGCAAGTTTATTGGCAGTTAACGATATCAGAGGTAAAAATGCCTTGCTTGAAATATACTTTAATATTCATTATCTCATTTGACCCACATAACCATTATAAAAAGCAGATAGAGAATGCATTCTCTCCATTTATCAGATGAGGAGATTGAGGCATAAAGAGACTAGTGACTTGCCCATGTCTACATACCTGAGGATCAGCGCTGGACTGAGGCCTCTTGATCCCTGGTCCAGGATGCTTTGCCTTGTAACCCACTATCTTCCTAGCTGCTCTTCTTAAAATCTATGATCTGTTGCAGACAAAATGCCAAAGGAAAATCTTAGCAGTAAAACAAGCAAGCTACTAGTTAGGATCTAATAAAATATGCTGAAAATATGTTGCTTTCCTTTAGTCTTACACTTATTTATCAAGATCAAAAAAGAATAAATGCATACCACCAGAAATTTACCATGAGACCAGTTATTTCACAGTTTTGTGCTCAACAGTGATTCACGTATCATCTTTTATTTGGAAATCTTTTGTACTATTCTGGACCAAAACCTTACTAATAATACAAGAAATGTTGCTGAATCTAATTTGTCTTTGGCAATTAAAATTTGTGAGTTTGTTCATTAGTTAAATTAGCTCTACCAGATAGACCTTATTATACACAAACTTGATTTAGTTTCTCCGTAAAATGATTTTCTTAGCTGGGCATGAGGACATAACATTTTTTTCACTTTCTATTTCGATTTTATATCTTGGGAGAATTTTATCATCCTTTATATCCTATTCACTGCCAAATGCCTGCAATTTAATTCTATATACTATGCTCTGGCCAGGACAGCATTTTCCAATTTGTGAAGAAACTTTTCTCCAAAGAATACCTGTTGGCCCCCGATATGAAATTAACTGATGTCAATTATTCAAAAAAAAAAAAAAAAAGGTTACGGAAGGCAGCAATGGGGTGGGGAAATCATTCTTGATTTGATTTTCAAAAAATAATGGGGTAGCACCCTGATCCTCCTCAGTGAGATTGTTCCATACATTTTATAATAGAATTAGAGTCTTTTGTCACAGTCTGTGTTCCACCCTGGGATTACCCAACTTTCTAAATGATTAAAAAAATTTCATATGTTAAGGTTCACTCTTTGCTGTAAAGTTCTACGGGTTGTGAGAAACGCATAGTGTTATTTATCTACCATTATGGTATCACACAGAATAATTTCACCACCGTACTAGGTATATTCAACCTCCTCCCATCTCCCTGAGTCCCTGGAAACCACAGATCTTTTTACTGTCTCTATAGTTTTGCTTTTTCAGAAATATCAAATAATTGGAATCATATAGAATGCAGCCTTTCTGGACAGGGTTCTTTCACTTAGCAATGTACATTTAAGTTTCATCCATGTCTTTCATGGCTTCACAGCTTCTTTCCTTTTGTTGCTGAATAATATTCCATTGTATGGATGTACTACAATTTGTTTATCCTTTGACCTATTGAAGAGTAGCTTGGTTGCTTTCAGTTTTTGGTGATTATGAATAAAGGCGCTATAAACATGTGCAGGTTTTATGTGGGCATCAGTTTTCAAATCAGTTGGGTAAGTACCCAGGAACACAATTTCTGCATTGTATGGTAAGGCTATGTTTAGCATTCTAAGAAGCTGCTAAACGTTCTTCCAAAGTGGCTGTATAATCTTGCATTCCTGCTGTCAATGAATAAGATGTCCTGTTGCTCTATAACCTCACTAGCAATTGGCATTGTCAGTTTTCTTGGAATTTAGCCATTCTAATAGGCAGGTAGTGGTATCCCAATGTAGTTTTAATTTGCAGTTCTTTAATGACAAATGACATTGAGCATCTCACATATTTATTTGCCATCTATATACTTTCTTTGATGAGTGTCCAGATCTTCCATTTATTTTTAAATGGAGCTGTTTCTCTCATTATTGTTGAGTTTTAAGAGCTCCTTATATAGTTTGGATACAAGTCCTTATCAGATAAGACTTTTGCAAATATTTTCTCCAAGTCTGTGGCTTGTTTTTTCATCCTCTAAACAGTTTTTCATAGAAGATTTTTATTTTAATGACTTAATTTTTTTCTTTCATGGATTGTGCCTTTTGTGTTGTATCTAAAAACTCATCTCCAAAACTAAGGTCACCCAGATTTTCCCCTATGTTTTTATCTAGAAATTTTATTATTTTGCATTTTACCTTAGGTCTATGATCCAATTTATGCTAATTTTGGTGAAAGATATGTGGTCTCTGTCTCAGATTTTTAATTTGGCTTTGTGTTGTATAGGGACATACAATTTTTCCAACACCATTTGTTAAAAGACTATCTTGGGACTGGCCCAGTGGCATAGTGGTTAAGTTCGGCACACTCTGCTTCAGCAGCCTGGGTTCATGGGTTTGAATCCCAAGTGCAGATATACACCACTCATCAAGCCATGCAGTGGTGGTGACCAACATACAAAATAGAAGAAGATGGGCACAGATATTAGCTCAGGGCCAATCTTCCTCACCCCAGAAAAGAAAGACAATCTTTTTCCCATTGAATTGCCTTCATTCCTTTGTCAGAGATCAATTGACTATATACGTGTAGGTCTATTTCTGGGCTCTATATTATTTCCATTGTTCTATGCGTCCATTCTTTCCTCAGTACCCCACTGTCTTGATTACTGTAGCTTTAGAGTAAGTCTTGAAATCAGGTAGTTTTAAGTTCTCCAATTTTGTTCTTCTTAAGTATTGTGTTAGTCATTCTAGGTCTTTTCAATTTCATAAAAAACTTTAGCATCAGTTTTACCAATATTTACAAAACAGCTTTCTGGGATTTTGGTTGATGTTTCATTGAATATGTAGATCAGGTTGGAAAGAACTGACATCTTAACAATGTTTAGTCTTCCAATCAATGAACATAGAATATTATCTCTCTCCATTTATTTACATCTTTTTAAATTTACTTCATTAGGGCTTTGTAGTTTCCATAAATAGATCTTGTATATAATTTAGATATATACCTAAGATTAATACCTAAGTATTCTATTTTCTTAGATGCCATTGTAAATGATATTGTTTTTTAAATTTTAAATTCCAATTGTTTATTACTAGTAAAGCAACTAACTTTTGTACATTGTCCTTGTATCCTATGAACTTCCTATCTTTGTTTATTGGTTTAAAGAGTTTTTGTTGTTATTGTTCCTTGGGATTTCCCACATAGATAATCATGCCATCTGTGAATAAAGACAGTTTTATTTCTTCTTTTCCAATCTGCCTACATTTATTTCCTTTTCTTGTCTTATTGCACTGGCTAGGACTTCTAGTATGATATTGAATAGGAGTAGCGAGAAAAGATATTCTTGCTTGTTCACCATTTTAGGGAGAAAATCTCTAGTTTCTCACCCTTAAGTATGATGTTGGATGTAAGTTGTTTGGAGAAATTCTTCATCAGGTTGAGAAAATTCCCTTTATTCCTTGTTTGCTGAGAGTTTTTATAATGAATGAATGACGGGTTCTGTCAAACGTCTTTTTTGTATCACAATAAAATCAATACGACTTTTCTCCTGTAGCCTGTTGATATGATGGATTACACTGATTTTTGGAACCAGCCTTGCATAACTGGAATAAATCCCAATTGATCTTGGTGTCTAATTATTTTTATAAACTATTGGACTCAATTCGGCAATATTTTGTTGAGGATTTTTACATCTATGTTTATGAGAGATTTTGGTCTGTAGTTTTCTTTTATTGTAATATCTTTGTCTGGTTTTGGTATTGGGGTCATGGTGGCCTCATAGAATGAGTTAGAAAGTTCCCTCTGGTTCCATTTTCTGGAAGAGATTGTAGAGAATTGATATCACTTCCTCCTTACGGGTTTGGTAGAATTTACCAGGGAAATCATCTGAGACTGGGTGCTTTCTTTTTTGGAAGGTTATGAATTATTGATTCAATTTCTTTAGTAGATACAGTTCTATTCAGATTTTCTATTTCTCCTTGTATGAATTTTGGTAGCTTATGTCTTTCAAGAAATTGGTCCATTTCACCTAAGCTACCAAATTTGTGGGCACAGATTTGTTCAGAGTATTCATTCATCATCCTTTTAATGTCCCTGAGACTAGTAGTGATGACCGATCTTTCATTTCTGATGTTAAAAATTTGTGTCTTCTTTTTTTCTTAGTTAGCCTGACTAGAGGTTTGTCAACTTTATGGATATTTTCAAAGATGTGGCTTTTGGTTTTGTTGATTTTATCTGTTGTTCTCATTTGTAATTTCACTGATTTCACTCTAAGTTTTATTTCTTTTTTTCTGCTTGCTTTAGACTTACATCACTCTTCTTTCTCTAGTTTCCTAAGGTGGAAGCTTAATGATTTTAGATCTTTTTTCCTAATGCAGTCATTCAATGCTATTAAAAAAACCTCTCTAAGCACTGCTTTAGCTTCATCCTACAAATTTTAATGTTATACTTTCATCTTCATTTAGTTAAAAATATTTTTAAGGGGCCAGCCCGGTGGCGTAGTGGTTAAGTTTGTGCACTCCACTTGGACAGCCCAGGGTTTGCAGGTTGGGATCCCAGGCACGGACCTACACACCACCCATCAAGCTACACTGACGCAGCCTCCCACATTCAGAATGGAGGAAGCCTGGCACATGTTGAGGCAGCATCCCACAGACAAATTGGAGGAAGATTGGTAGGGATGTTAGGTTGGGGACAATCTTCCTCAAGCAAAAAGAGGAAGATTGGCAACAGATGTTGGCTCAGGGCCAATCTTCCTCACCCAAAAATATATATGTATATATTTTTAAATTTCTCTTGAGATTTCTTCTTTGGCCCACCTGTTATTTAGAAACATGTTGTTTAATCTCCAAATATTTGAGGTTTGTCCAGTTATCTTTCTGCTATTATTTCTAGTTTAATTGTACTTTGGTCAGAGGACATACTTTGTGTGAGTATAGTCTATTTTGGTGAATGTTCCATACATGCTTGAGAAAAAGGTGTATTTTGTTGTTGTTGGGTGGAGTATTTTATGTCACTTAGATCAGGCTGCCTGATAGTGTTGTTTAGGTCAACTATATCCCTACTGATTTTCTGCCTGCTTGACTTATCAACTACCGAAAAATAGATGCTGAAGTCACCAGCTATAATAATGGAGTTTTCAATTTCTCCTTGCAGCTATATTAGTTTTTGCCTCATGTATTTTGACATTCTCTTATTAGATGCATACACGTTAAAGATGTATTATTTTCTTTATATTTTGCTGAACTTGATAAATTTTAAATGGATTTTTGCATCAATGTTCATGAGGAATGTTAG